AGAGGAAAGTGTTTTTTTTTTGGGGTTGTCAATGTTTATCGGTAGTACTCTGTACTATGTGTTCTACTGAACTAATTTGACTATTTAAAAAAAGTTATAGAGTTCCATAATTTTAAATTGAAAAAATGTACATTTTTTTTGGTTTTCTCTCATTTTTGAAGGATAAGGAGTGAACTTTTTAAATTTTTGATCTGAATACCTATTTCTGATTTATACAGATGTTGTTGTACATACAGTAATCGGTTCAGCCGTTTAAAAGATATCGCAAGTCCAGACACAAAACAATTGAAAAAACACACTATTAAAAAACAATACCTTCCCAGCTCTACATCGAAGCTAAAAAATGTTTAAAATTACTTTCCCAGAAATTTAGTAGATTACTTTAAATTTATCTCTCCATGCAAGCCTTATTAGCGATGTAATAACTTCTAAATATGCCATTATTTTTATGTTATTTGTTTTATTGTAGTTTATTTGCAGACCGTACGAAATTGTTTTTTTAAGCTATTGTAAAAAATGTAATATAACCGGATTATTAGATGAAGGTCAACTTGCAACAAAATACACAGTCGTTGTGCTCATAATGGAGTCTAGAGTATCGATTAAACGAGTGTCTAGACAGTGCATGACTAGTACCTACAAATTTAGTCCGAAACCGAACCTAAACTGTAAACTTTTGTATTTATAACTCGTGTACGTAATCACAGTCACGATAGTTTTCAAGTCAAGAAATAAGTTTCAAGTAGAAATAAAATGAAATATACAATTATACTTCAACGAGAAATACAATCACTTTGCGTTCAATGCAAGAACCTACCATCACTCGCAGAAATTGTCTTGTATTTAACATCATTCGATGTTTAAAGTAAAATAATACTAATAATTGGCGATTTTTGGTCTTATAGACACGCACCACGTATCGGTATTGATCGACTACTATAAATCATGGTTTTCCGGACTTAGTTATTACTTTACATTTTTTTACAACACAATGTTTGTCACATTTCTTGACCCAAAATCCAAATGTAAGCATATACAGCATGATTGTCGGCAATCGCTTCGAGTATATCACCCGGTGTATAATATAAATGGTACATATATCATTGATACAGACTTGAAACCAATGAACTTTATACTTGTCTAAGCGTTCCAATATCGTTAGTGTCCAAAGTGGACGTGAGCTTGTTTGACTACATATATTCATTACTGTCCTCTCGTTGGTAAATTTTTGGGTCCATAAACGTAATTACTGAACAATGGAAAGAGCCATTATACAAGTGCAAAATAGAGGGGTGGTAAGTGTATAACTGCAGGACGGAGAAAGAATAGGTAGCGGTTATAAGTATGCGGATTAGAACGGCATATCGCGTGTAAGGTGTCGAGAATGACACCTTGTACTTTCATTTTTCTTACTGCACGAGCCGGAAAAACTGATTTATAAGAAAACAAATGACCTTTGACGTTACTCCGCTGATCGAGTATAAATAACATCAATCCCAGGCCACCCCAAAAACAACACGGACCACATGATTAGACATTTCAGTATGTTTCCTAGAGAAATTGGTAAAAATTACAAACTAACCCGCAAACCGGAACGAGCAAAAAACAACTTATAAACATATACGCAAGTACACATCATATAAAGTAATTCCAGTTTTTATTTCGTCGTACATCGTATGCGTCTAGTTTTTGGTGTAGTATAGGCGTACATTTATTTATAGACAGTTTTATTATAAAAAAGCGCATTGGGTGGTATTAAAAATGTTCAGCCGCCGGAAATGTGACGGACGTCAAGTGACTGTTGAGACTTTCTGTTTCCCTTTTTGACGTTATTTTTGCAAAACAAGCAAAATGGGTGCATAAATAAAACCTTAAGAACTCTTTGGGAAAAATAAAACACAACAATTCCGCAAAGCAAAAAACTCATTCTATCATTAATGCATTTAATGACATTCTTCTAAATCTATGTACATTTTTACAGATATGTTTGTTAGGTTATTGTTCTTCGTTTCGAACATATACACCTGACCCACAATACAGTTCTTTATAAAATAATTATTACTTTTTAGTATTTTATAGGAATTTACAGGATATTTTTGGGTGTAAGAAAATAATTTTAAAATTAAAATCTTCATGAGATATAATAAGGTAAATCATTTGTTTGTAACGCTTTTCCATAAACACAGTGTCCTGGAAACGGTAAGGAACAAAAGATTACAATGGGCTGGGCATGCTTGGCGTAGCCAAAATCCACTCATACGCAAAGTGCTAAAAGAAAATCCTACTAGGAAAAGACCGCCGGGAAGACCACATATGAGATGGAAGGACGTAGGAAGGAGTGATGTGAAAGCGTTAGTAAGAGGTTTAGACTGGAAAAGGCAGACATCGGATAGAGAAAACTGGAGGCAAGACTGTATTTCCGGATGGTCCTAGTGGCCGATTTACCTAAGAAGAAGAAGATATATAATATACATAATATTTTTAAAAAAAGGCTTTATTTTAATTGTTTCTGTACTTTTTAAATTATAGTTATTATCATCTATTTGTTGTAATAGTTAAACAACGCTATTTAATCTTAAACTATTTCTACCAATACCGCTATAGCTAGTATAGTCAAAACAATTAAAAAATACTAAATCATGAGACTATGTAGTAAAGGTCGTTAACTTCAAAACACCACATCTTACGAAAGAGTAAAACAAAAAAATGAGAGCAATATTACGGCTTTCTTGCAATTCTATGGAAGAATATACAACAAAATGTTGACATCTTGAGTCAACGATAGTGTTGTTCTATAAGTCCATGAAAAAATAAATAGTTTTGTAGAGTTTCAACGTTTGCTAAAGGCAGTATTCACGTCCGATCGGTATTGCATCGCATGACTAACACGGTAGATGTTAGCTTTACATTAAATTTAAATTCTTATCCATCGATGGTATCGCTTAACTAAAACGTGCTTAAGGTGTGCGTGTCGGTAGATAAGAAAATGTTTTTTTTCTTCCGGAAAATAGTAAATAATTCAAAATTAAATTGCAGTATTACCTACTTCTACCAGTTAAGCACACACCAAAAAAAAAAGCAATTACGTTGTCAACTTTTAATTACTACACAGGACGAAATCGTGGTAAAAACAAGGTTGTGATGCGAAAATGTGTTTTTCGACCTTATATTATATATTTGTAACGTCTGCAAGATTTATGACTTCGTAGTACCTATAAGTTGATAACGCACAATGCGTTTCCTAACGAAAATAGTATATAAAAAAAACGTTGTCCTCAACAAGAACTGGTAACACGCAAAACTACTGATCGAAATGTCGTTTTCGCACGTTTCCTTCGTCGATAGTTTGTTTAAAAGTGTATACAGTGTGTGTGTCGCATACCAACCGCTTTTATTATATATTTTTATACCTAGACGCCGGCTTTACTTCTACGCCAGTCGGCAGTCACCGTCACTCGTTCAATAGTAATAATTGTTTCCTCGCGGGAACACCGATATATTAGCATAGGATTTTATGTCTTTTAGAAACGCGACCACGGTGAAAATATTTATAATATCGTGAACCTATATATAATTAGGTCAAAAGTGTATAACACCCGATGTTAGCGAGCGTATTCGAAACAGCTCTCCATACCCGTCCAGACAATACTACTATTATAACACTGGTACTACAATTAAAATAATAACGGGTAAATAGATACATTTATAGATTAAAATCTATATTTAATATAATCATGACACTAATAAAACTAAACAATTAATAAATATTAAACATATTTTCGGTAGTATTGACGCGGTTCGTCCGATCAACGATGGGGCTTAAATTGCCATCGGAGTGTCTAAGCCTAATACCTAGGCAACATTACGGTACAGTCATCTGTCCCCGCTGCTCTCTCCTTTGCCGATACACTCGTTTGAATCGACTACGGTGGCTAAACCGGATACCAAAAATGCGATTTGCATAATTTAATGAAAGAAATCTTTCACTCTCTCTAATGTACTTGTTTCGATGGCGTTAGTCGTTAAAAAAAAGCGCAGTAGCTTTTACGGGTGGCTCGAAACGCGAAAAACGATTACCAACGGCACGCTAATTTGTCAAACGCACTTAAGCTTGAGGTATACCTCATGTATACAAAAAAGGGTGGCAGACCGAAATCTCGTCTATCAACTTTTCGCCTTAACCGTCGTTTGTTTGCCAAGCGTGGATACCCACGCGTCATTCATTCCCTTCGAACGGCACGCACCAAAAATCATAACTACGGCTCGGCATGACGACTGGTAGGCCGTATTAAGAGGTATTCTATTAAGTCATACATAACGATGCACAAAACATGCATCGTCTTATATATAATTCATAGAAAACCAGAATAATAAAATAATGATGTTTCCTTACGTCGATCAAAAACAATTTCAATGGTCTTAAAGTCTTATTAAAACTCGAGTATATTATTATTGTTTTATAAAATATCAAAGGTATTTCAAAATGTGTTCAGATATTTAGCTTATACGTTAAGAGTACAGGGTTTTTTAAAACACAGTTAGTTTTTAATAACTCATTGATGTGGTTGCGAATTTAGGTGTTAGAAGATATTAATATACGAGTGAAATATAGACGTTAAAATATAAATATGACTTTTTAGTTTGATAAATTGCTTTTATTTTTGTGCCACACTTAAAGGTCACCAGTCGCCTCGACCTTTGAACACTCATTGCCGGACGTCGTTTCGGACGAACCGGCAGCATTCGGCGGTATTTTATGCGTTCGCTTTGCATTATCGCAAAACGAGTATCCGTCGCGTGTGCCTTTTCTTTTATACCAGTGTAATGTATATTCTATTGTTATTAGTATTATATCGCGACTGCGTATTGATCAGCCGCGAATAACAAACAAATTGTTAATAAGTAAACCCCTGTGTTGTATTGCTGAGTACAGCGGATATAACCGCGTGTCGATACAGTAGTATCGCTCGCCTATTAATAATACTGTACGTAATGTTTACCTAGCGCGGTTTGTCGATGAGTCTTTTGTGTTTTAGTGCAACCGTAATGGCATGCGTTCTCCGTTGTACTCCAGCTGAGGTGGCGGTGGCGGAGGCGGCACCATAGTGTCGTTGCCTTTTAATTGAACGCCAACCCCCACGACACTTTAGATAATGCACTTATATAATTAAATATTTATTTACTTAATAAAAAAAACATCTCAAGAGTATACTTGAAACACTCGCTCGGAGCGTCGTGTCGTGCCCGTGGTGGTCGCCGTCAACAATGGGTTGTTCGCAGACGAACGCGGTCGCATTACTGGGGCACGTTCGATTTGGGCGAATAAAACCGTGGAGACTGCGGTGGTTTTCCGCCAGATGGCGGAATGCGCATGACCAAATACGACCCCGGCCGAAACGGGGTTTATTGAACACAACAAACAAGAATCGCCGCCACCCGCTCAAGTTGGAACAAAAATAAAAGTATTTATAATAAAGAAATCACTCGGTACGACATTATAACAAAAAACATTATAACATAACGATAATAATAACGACAACAACGCATACTATGTATTAAACGGTAAACGATCATTCGTTGTTGTGTAGCCTTTAAGGTATATCGAACAATAATATAATAATAATCTGGGACGCTGTTTACCCTGTAACGAGCTCCGTCGAACAACCGCACGTCCTCTTCACCCGGCCAGGGTGTAGAGTATAAGCTCACATTATTATTATTATTACTATTATTATTGTTTGAACCACCTACGCGGCGTTGTTGGGATGTACTAACCTCCAATAGACATATCATTATTCTTACGGCCCAGAGGTAAGCGAATGCGACAACAGATTTATCGTTGCGCAAGTATTGATACGATAGTTCAGACGGCGTCTAGTGTATGCAATTCTGGTACACCAGTGTGTAGGGAACGAGGGGGGAAAATATCAATTTTACTAATGGACCGCATGCGGGTCGTTGCCTATTAATGCTGTAATGCATATTTTATTAATTTGTTGTTTCCAAATATATCAGTAAATAATTCAGTCAAGTTAGTCCTCCTAACATGACCTTAGGTTAAAACTGTATTCACTCGTGTATGGTTTAATTGTTTATTGTTAACGTGTAATTGTACATCACAAATTTAACTAGAATTAAGTTTTACTAATTAAATAATTTTGATGAAAAAAAGTATACATTTAATAATTTATTATTATAAATAATTTGTAATTTTAAGTTATTGTATTTAGTTTTTTTAAAATAACTAATGACTATCACAAATTGTAATAAAATGTAAACAATGACTAGTTTGAAGAAATTTATCTTATAGTTTTAAAAATATATGTATTTTTTGTTGCCGTGGACAAATAAAAATAAAATCATTTTTAAAATTTTAAATGTTTCGTGAGTCAAAGCCCGCTCATAAAGAATGTATTTTGATCATTATTAATCTTTAAGTAACTTAGTTTTTAAACGGATACTATATTGGCTATTACAGATCTATTATTCATATGAATAGAAACACACTAAACTCAACAGTATCAGTAAAACAAAAATGTATACTTTTTTAAAGATTAATATCGTACGAATTTCCATCATATTTTTTACATTAATCTTGCCCATTTTATTCGGTGGTTCATTTCCCACTGTAGACTTGGATACCAATATAACTTCAAATGTAATATAAAAAAATTCTAAGGTTCAATGACTTGGAAGCATTTCGTGTAGCTGGTGTGAGAGAAAGAGATTTTACGAAATTCAGGCTTCGGGTTGTTCGCTTTAGAGTCTAGAGGTTAATGAGAGTGGAAAACCACTCCAGCGGGATTTAGGTATAAACTTGATTTCGGCCGTCTCCGCGAATTAATGTTTTTTTTTTAATCCCTAGTCGGTCTTCGACAACAATGATATAGAATTCGAAATACGCGACTTGTATTTTACATAGTTAAAGTGAAATAAGAAAATGTATTTTATTCCTTCTGGGTAGCTACCACTTACTAAAAGTACGTCCTAATCTTTAAAAACACGCTTTAATATTATCAGAGTATTACAATTTCATTTTTAAATCCTCGGTAACTATGGCCATTAGTTTGTTGGTAGAATTGTATTGGTTGGATTTGAAAATGTGTAGGTTGAACATATACGTGCAATAAAGGACATGGCTTAGGTCTCCGATAAAAACCTCGAAATGTCACCAAACCGAGATTAGGCGGTGACGGACGTAGCTTAACTACAGATGTCGAGTGTCACCTATAGTAACCACTGTATCATACCATTACCCTTAACGTATAATATTATTACCCATTTTTTCAAAATCACTAGCAACATTCTACTTACAACTCAAATAGAAATACACAGAAACAGCTAAGTTTTTATTTAATTATAACTTAGTTTTTTTTTTGTCCTTAAATTTTTAAATGATTATTAGTTAGTTAAATTCTCAATTTAATTCTGATTAAGATATGTTAAACATGTGTGGATTGAATTAATTTAACATTTTTTTGATTTGTGGGTTTAAAATAATGAAAACATCAAAATTTAACCGGGTAATGTTGTAAATGAAATTAATGGTTAAGTCTTGAGTTTTATATTTTGATTAGACAATTATGTATAAGTAGGTATGTATTCAAAAGCGTTCAAGAGTTGTGAGCGTAAAAGTTAATGTTAAATAAAAATGACAATATTGATAAAATATACATAAAGCACAAATACAAACGCACTCAAGAAGCGAAAGTTGTACAAACATATTTTTTTTGTGTGGTTTTAGTAAAATATATTAAACAAAATTAAAAATATTAGTAGTAATTTTTTTTCATTACACTAGCTGGGTTTAAATTTTTTTTTTAATGTACTATATGGTATGCAGTATAGTATAGGTTATATAATTTTCTATGTAATGGATTCCCTGAATGAGGTATTTTCGTAAGAGTAACACTGAATTCAAATTGTACAAAATCTAGAATCTGAATTATTTTTAATAGGTAATGAGGAACGAGTTATTTAAAAACAATGTCTCAACGCTGATTTTAAAACATCATTAATTAATAGTTATTACATTATGTAACAATAATACAATTCAGTTTTTGGTTAAAACACATTACATATATTTAATGTATTATATATTAAATTAATATCGTAAGAAGAAAATATAGAGTTCAATAACGAATAGTTGACAATTTACATTTATTGTATTTCGCTGCCGTACGCCGTTGTATGTCAATTGCTGTCGAATGGATGCGAAATCCATAAAGTTTGGCCGCATACCGATGAAGACTTTTTTGAGGCCTATATTCTGGTTTAGTCATAAACACCATATGAGGAAACCCAGTACCAAAAAATGCTCCATCCACTGTAGCCGCAACGATGTCAGCTGAAGGAAAATACGCATCATCACACTTGGGACAGTACAATATTACAGTGCCCTCCCGAACTTTATCACTTAAACCTGAAACAAATTTTTTTTCTTTTCATGCATAAATAACTGCTACGGAAGAAGGAGACAAAGACCTTACTCTCCATTTTTTACACTACCTGTTTTATGAATCTTACAATTCTAAGTAAATCTTTATTTTTTAAATGAAGATGGGGAAAATACTGAAGCTTTTTGGAATGACGCGTTAGATTAAATTTTTTCTAAAAAATTTAAAGCAGCCAATATAAGAACTTATTAATAAACTTTCAACTTCGACTTTTGTTTAACATTTCAACTTAATTAATTTTAAATATATCTATTAAATTTTCTATGGAAATTTCATTTTTGTTAAATTATTGAGTGCTGTAAGTTGTTACTCATGTTGTATAATTTTTTAAAATAATGTTTTCGATAGTACGAATGTTAGTTACGTATTTTATTAGAACTATACCAAAGATATACCTGTATTTATAGTTATTTAAACATAATGTCCATTATTACATCTTTAAAATATTACAAAATATCTACAAAAAATAAAATGTATTATAATTTTTGTTAGCAGTTTACTTATAATATATATTTTAACCCTGAAATAAAGCATAATATGATTTACCCATTGGTAAAACTGGTGAACGCACACAATCAATTCGCGGGCAGGTACCAAAATCTCTAATAAAATATTTTTCCAACATTAGATCAACCCCTCGGGGCGTCATTATAAACCGAGCATGGATCAGACCATACAATAATCTGAGAGCGAGCAAGTCACGATGAGAGCTGTTACGATTTCTTGAACCATTTAACAACGTGTTTAGTGCGATCTCATACCCTGGCACCAATTCATCTAAGCCAAATAAGTTGAATCGATCCCGAACGTAGCATTCGTCCACTGCGCACATGAACGCGTTTTCTGGTTTACTCAACCACCAAGATATCCATGAAGTAGTGTCTTTTAATTTTGACATAATGTAACAAAATTACAAGAAGTTGAAATAATTATTTTAAATAACCCCGAGTTTGTTGATTTATCAAACAAACTACAATGTAAATATATTATAGCGACATCGATTAAAACGATTGATTTTCAAAACTACTATAATACTTCTATTAACAATTCATACATGATACATCTTATATCGATTTCCGATAATCTAACTTAAAGATTCTTAATTTATCTCATTTTTTTAGTTTCTGAAATTACGACTATGTCACGCAATTATTTAAAAAAAGCTGAGGAATGGATATTGGCAATGTCAAAATCTCTGTTAATCAATTTCAAATACGTTTTACAACAAACCGGAAAAATAATGAATGGATTATAGACTTGTGTGAAAGGTGAAGCCCATTTACTGAAAAAACTAGTGGAAATGATGGTGAATGCTGAAGCAAACGAAGTAAAAGTAGACCTGTATAAATATAGACGACTATGAACCAGTTTATTGATGCAACAGAAAATAAAATAGATTAAAAAAAACTATACTTAAAATAAATTTTAGAAAATTATTCAAACGTACAGAACACCGAAACTGATTTGAATCTGATGGGGAGGTGCTTTAAAAAAATATATTAGATGTACAAAAGAAAATCTGAAACCAGATTCGAACTCAATAATTCAACCTTTATTTTAACATGAAGTAGAACACTAATTGAGCACTAGGAAATTTGAAATGTACTTTCAATTTTACAAATATGTGCACTTGAAAAATAAGTATGTATATATTATGATTTATGATATTATAATATTATAAATTATGGCCCTACTTTTAATTTTAATCATAGTCATAAGTAATCTGGAAAATCTTTAGTTTAATAATTATAAATTGCCTTTTTTAAGAAAGTAGGCTACTTACATTCAACAAATGCCGATTATGGACTTTTAGAAATAACATATGTAGGTAATTTTTTTTTTTTCTTAGACTCATAACATATTTTTATAAAATGTTATAATTTTTCAGTAGCAGTATCTTTACAGTAGCACTACCATAACCTAGGTGGCTGGGGTAGTCTAGTCCTCCAGGTTGGGGATAAAACGCAGGGCTAAAATTATGGTATCATCACTTAATCAGCCTCGGACACAAAAAACGGACAATGGAGTTTAAGATAGCGACCTGGAAAGTAATGTGTCTCTTTAGAGCTGATGCGTGCCAAAACTTAGAAGAGGTATTGGACATGTATAAAATCAAAGTAGTAGGTATAAAAGAAGTAAGATGGACGGGAAACGGACAGCTAAAAATAGGAAGGTATATTATATACTTCTCAGGAATGGAAGACAAACACCAGTTTGGGTGTGGATTTGCCATATATGAGACCATAGAACCGTATATAAATGAATTCAACCTTATATCAGAGCGATTAACAGTACTAAGAATTGACACTGAACCTATACATATCGCTTTGATATGCACTTATGCACCAACGGAATCAGCTGACGAGAATAGTAAGGACGCCTTTTATGAGGACCTGGTCCAAGCATATGAAAAATTGCCAGGGAATACAATTAAGACAGTGTTGAGTGACTTAAACGTTAAATCTGGAAGAGATATGCAGTTTTCCCCTACGTTAGGTTAGAGAGCAGAAAGAATGTACCTACCTTATAGCTTGGAGTGTTTGAAGGATGACAAGATCCAATAAGAATATGCAGTAAGGATGAGAATATATGTTGAGAATATTAAAGAAGAGGATATAGAGGAAGAATGGAGCAAGATAAGTAAAGCTATTAAAGTAGTTGTAGAACAAGTAATTGGTAGACTAAAAAGTGGGAAGAAAAAATGGTATAATGAAAAATTCCGGGAAGCGGTAGAAAAACAACGTATAGCTCGGAATAATTACGTAAAATGTTACGATGCAAACACAAAAATAATATATGAAATAGAGAGAAAAAATTGCAAGAGAATTTTATAAAGAGAAAAAGGAATTTTCTAAACGAGATACTACAGGAAGCTGAAAAAGACCGTTCGCAAGGTAGTATAAGGAATTTCTTCAGAACCATCGGGCAATAAAAATCATTCAACCTAGGCTTGAAATCTATTAAAAACTGCGATGGGGAAATATATATGAAGCCAGAGCTAAAATCTAGAAGTTGGGAAGAGTTCTTTAAGGAACTACTGAGTACGGAGGTGCCAGTAAATCCAATAATTGGTACAACCTTCCAAAGATCTGAACCAATGCTGAATGAAGTAACTCAAGAAGAAACGGATAAAGTGATAGCTAGCCTAAAAAACTGCAAGACACCTGGATCAGACAGCATACCATCAGAGTTAATCAAATACCGGGGCAAACAGCTAAATTATTCCATGTTCAAAATATAATAGAAGATTTGGAGGGATGAACATGTGCCAACGAGTTGGAATGAAGCGATAATTATACCATTACATAAAAAAAGGTGACAAACTCGTTTGCGAAAATTACAGAGGTAACTCATTATTAAACTCAACATAAGTGCAACTAGGGGGGGGGGCTGGGGGAGCTTAGCCCCATCAAAATAAATAATACTTTATACGTTCTTGAATTCAACAAAAAATAAGTATTTTCAATATTCGAGTTAGTTAAACAAATATATTGAAATATCGTGCATAATAATTTACAAAAAAAAATGTTTGTCTTCGCTCAGTCAGGATTAACTTATCTGGACATACTATCTAGACACTTATCATAGTCACGGGAATAAAGTGTATATTTGTGGTATATACATTGTAGTATCATTCGTGAACACTGATTTTTACGGAGTTATCAGTGGCCAGAAATATTTTTTTTTTACAATTAACATCGCGATGTATATTCTGTGTTCATATATTCCGTGATAGGTACTATCTCATATCATGGTTACTATCAATACGTACTACAATGGACCAAGATCGTTTCAGTAATTATTGAACGCAATTGTGGTGAATTTAAGGATTTAGGCTGTCTAACAGTGCTTTATTTAGCTTTAATACGCTCGGGTCTAGAATTTGGGTCGGTAGTATGGAACACCAATCAGGCTGATCTTATCGATAAAATTGAAAAAATCCAAATGAAATTTATAGGTTTGGTGACCCTTAAAATTAATATGAAAGTTAACCAAATTGTCGACATTAAGCGTCGTTGAAATCTGATCCTGTTAAAAAATAGACGTGGACACACTTTTTATTTTTAAATTGTTTAACGGTTTAGTTAATAGCCCGGAACTTCTAAAGAGATTATCTCTAGTAGTGTCTAATGTTTTTTTGTTGAGCATCAGTCAAAAAATGATGTTATAAAGAGTTTATATGTCTATACATATCCTATATGTCGAATGTTAAATGTATGTAATACATTGTCTGGTTTTTATTTTTATTTTGATAATATCAGTAAATTAAAATTGAGTACCTTAAATGTATTGTGATTAGATATATGTTCCAGTGAATAAGTTAAGTTAAATGTTAAAATATGTATGGTGTATATAATATTATTGCATTGCATCTGTACTCATTGGCCCCAGCGGGGCGTTACTCATACAAATAAATTAAAAAAATTGTTAATAACTATTTTATAGTATGTAGAACTCATTAACAGTTAAATAATTTTGGTATTTTTGTAATATATACATTTTAAGACGTGTAGGGGCGAAGCCCCCGCGGGTTAATTTTGGTAAAATATTAAGGTGGGTCTGTAGCCCCCCTAGGATTTTGTGCTAGTTGCGCCACTGAAACTTAGCTTACAAAATATTCTCGAAGATATTGGTGAACCGATTAGTATCATATGAACATATGAATGTGGAAGAGTATCTAGGAGAATACTAGTGTGGTTTTCGGAAACTGTCTCCATTGTTATTTAATTTAGCGTTGGAGAAAACAATTGGAGAAATGCAGAAGAAGCCAACAGGTATAACAATAGGGGAGCGAAAAATCTAGGTGCTTGGGTTTGCCGACGATTTAAACATTTTGGGAAACTCGTTAAATGACACCAAAAGAGCAGTCCAAGTCTTGGAACAAGCAGCTGGTGAAGTAGGATTAAAAATCAATAGGGAAAAAATGAAGATATTGAAATTACTAGAGAATGAAGAGGACGTAGTTTTTGAAAAGGTTAGTGTGTTTCAGTATCTAGGAGCCATGCTGAGTATCAAAAATGTTAAAACTTTTATGGATTCAATTATTATGTGGATAATTTTTCGGATGTATCCATGTCTTCAGTTTTATGCTGACGTTTCAGACTCATAGCAGAGTTATCTTCGGAGAGTTACCTAGTCACCATTCCGCTGTCGTGACCATACTGACGACAATTTTTTCAATGAGTAAGCGATATTTTGGTGGTATTTTAGACTTAATTAAAAGCCTGACAAAATTACGCCTACTTAAGATAGTCCGATTTCAATTCTTTAAAAAAAATTGATTTCTTTGACTTCTAAATAGGCTATGTTAGAAACCGATTATAACTTAAAAAATTCAATTTCTTGTAATTATTAAATCAATTAAATTTGAAAATTGTTCAATATAAAAAATAATTTGATTACCTACATAAACAAAATAGCAAAAAATCAAAAATTCATTCCTGATATAACATAGTAAAGTAGCAAATAATTCATACCTCTTTTCAGAATTGAAATCAGACCATCCTAAGTAGTCGACATTTTGTCAGGCTTTTTAGTCTAAAACAAACGACAAAAAACAGACTACTTTCCCCTAATTAATAATGCTAAGTGATTTACTATACAACTAATATATTTGGTACCTACTTATCGAATGATTTCAAGAACAATATAATATAACAAATCGTTATTTAGTCATATTTTTATATAGGTTCTTGTTATTAAAAAAATAAGCTCATACAAAATGTTTTTTTGTTTTTACTTGTGGGTGACCGGCGACCGCTTTTCACCGGTCTGACCATAAATGGACACGTTTTATTCTTCATCATCAAGGAAAGGTTCTACGTTATCAGCGGGTAATGCATCAGGAGCAGGTTTAGGTTAATAGTGAAATAACTAAACAGTGTGGAGCGACAGGTGAGCTGGTCGGTGGTGGCGTGATAACGGCCTCTTGACATGTGCGGGTGCGTGGACCACAAACGAGGTATGACGTCACGACCGCTGCTGACAACATCGGTCAAAGGATATCGGTGACGTCAACGGCCGCAGCACCGTCGTCCAATGTTATCGCTTATCGGTCGCCGCCCGCCTTACCTTGCTAGTGATGATCATGTGCCCGTGAGCAGAGTCCGACGTTATATTCGTTATTCGTTAATGTTGCCGCCGACTCGCCAAGGAGACGGGACCACTGAAATTCGAATTGTTTTTCGCGATAACTGTGAACATGACTTAGGTGACAGACGCCAAGTGCTGTTCGGCGTACTGCGTACACGGGATCCGCCAACACACGGTCTCATCGCATTATCTGGCCGCTCAATCTGAATCCGGGCTCGCTAAAAAACAGTAGCTGTGTTAGAACTAAAGTGAATTTCGTTCTTTGCGACCATGGCCACTGAAATTTTGGTGACATTGTCCCGACTAGAAATGTCTTCTGGACTAGGTTTCTCATTGCTCAGCATTGCGGAATATCCACCGGTCATCTACGATGTGATCGAAAACACTCCGGCAGCTGAATGCGCCCAGGTAACCTTTGTTTTAGTTTCCCATCACTCAATGATCATTATTAAGGTACAAAAAATTATATGTATACCAAGACCCTTTTACTGAAATGTATTATTAGTTTATCTCAAAAAAATCTCACATAAGTATAAGATATAAATTATTATTTTTTGTCTAATACATTTCGATTAGGTTCGATTAGGTGCTTATCAGATAGTTCATAACAACTTGTTATGTGTTCCTCTAGAAAGTAAATTCTATTATTCTCATAAGACTTCTTATTTATGGTTTAATATTTTATGAATTAGCTTAGAAGCCTGTGCGACAATTTTAGAATATGGTAAATCTTCATTTATCAATTACTTATACATTTTATAAGTTCCAATATTGAAAATTGTTGTTTGCTCTCTTTGGATAATATTTCTTTCTATATTTGAAGTAATAATAATATTGTTTCTTATTAATTACTAATTTGTAAAGTTATATGTATATTTTGTGTTTATGTTAATAATTTTGTGCAATATCTAAAATTCTAAACTAATCGGTATTGTGACCATGACTTTTGTTCCCGACTTCAAAGTGTAACACTATAATGAAATACAGTTAGCCTACATTTGAAACTTGCTATTGTATTATTAATGCACATTCAGGTGTTCCTGTTATGACATAACTAAAAAAAAATGCCCTTGTAGGTGTAACATTTATATTATTTGAAAATACTATGTTACAATATACATCCTATATTGTTCAAAAGTAATTTTTGGTGACTTTATGGCTTAATTATCATAATCCTTAAGTTAAGAAATGTGCTGTTATTCTGTTTGGATAGTAGCCTGGTGCATATTCCAATTTAGTTTTAAATTGCTAATTTATTTACATAGCCATAAAATATTAATTTTTAGTGTCATTGGTCTGTTACACAATACTTCTACATACTCAATATTCTTAATATGTACAATAATAATATTTGTAAACGGATTTTATAACTGTCTAGATTGAAGCCGGTGATGTAATAATTAAGATTAACAATGAAGATGTTCGTTCATACACTATAAAAGACGGTAAATGATTTCACGTGTCTTTAAAAAGTTTTAAATTACATTGAATTATAGTTATACTGTTTTATAGTTTTAAAAATTGTAAATATCAAAATATTATAACTTTTTACTTAAAAGCTCTACGTAATAAGTAATAAGTATTAATTTGTATTTAATATTGTTACTGATTCATTTTATTTTAAACATTTATATATTCTTGAACTATTATTGTTATAGTGTTGAAATGCTTGCGATTAGCACAAAATCCTATTACACTTAAATTAATCAGAGGTCAGTGTACAATTTATTATTAAAACAAATATAGTCATTTAATAAAATAATATATTTTATAGATCCAGAAATTAAAACCAAAGTGTATAGTAAACTAACTGAAGATGGAAATGCTCCTCAAGTCTTGTTTCATGATATGGATTCTCCTCAACCACCTCCACAATCTCACCCACCTCCTTTAGAAATGGTTACCAGAACAAACACAAATAGAGTAGAGGCACCAAAATATGAAGCTTTTATGATGACCGGTGATAGAGTTATTAAAATGTCTAGAAATTCACAGGTAAATCATTTTTAGCTGGTTTAAATACTTTTAAGGTGTATTATTATAATAATATATTTCACCAATTATCTATGTATAATTTTAGGTATCCTTATTTCCAAAAAGAGATCGAAAAGTTGATTGTATTGTGAAAAACGGTGGCCCTCTTAAATTCCAAAAAGTCAATTCAAGCTCTGTTCCTAGTAGCCCAGTTGATAGTGAAAGGCCCACTATAGAAAAACCTAAATCTGGAAATACTTCACCAGTTTCTTTGCAACCTTCAAGTATTTCAAATTATAAGTGTGGTTCACGCTCAGAAGATCCTTTACAAACAAATTCTGCATATCCAATGACTTCTAATATGAGTATTGATACCGAAGATGAGGATATGACATCATCTTGTAATACATTGTTAAACACTAATGTTATGCCATTAGAAATGGAAGATAAAAGGGTATTATGGACCTATAATGCGGGTCATGTTCCAAATGACACATCAACATCTTACAACTCTCTTTCTAAAGTTGTGTCACCTAGCTCACCAACTTCAAATTCATCATCTTTAATATCATCACCATCTGACAGGCGACGCACAAATAAAGGAAATTACCGCTGTAACAGTCAACCTAATAGTAGTCATTCAAATATATCTAGTCCAGATTTTCAAGACATGGCTGATACAGATTTTATAATTAATTCTCGAGAAATAGAAGATTCAGATCCTAATGATAGTGATTCTACTATTTTAGCGATTGAACCACCTAGGAAGCGCAGTGCTGAGAGAGAGCAATATCCATATGATACACAATCGGATCATCGAATTGTAATACAGGTTAAAGGACCAGAAAAAAATAATGATAATAATAATAGATATTATAATGGAAAAGATAAAGATCAAAACTATAAGGTATTATAATTTATTATAGCTATATTTTTTTGAAATTACTGTTCTAAAATATTTTATATAATTAGGAAGAAGAAACCGAAGATGTTCAACATTTACTGGCACTAATGGAAGGTGCAGCTCAATTAGCTAATTCTGTCACTAATAATGAAGAGAACTGGACTTTAAATGAAGAATTAGATTCTGAAAGCTTACACAGCTTTCATTACTCTCCTAAAGCCGTTGATATGCCTTCAGCAGTAAGATTAGCGAAACGATTATTTCATTTAGATGGTTTCAAGAAAAGTGATGTATCACGACATCTAAGCAAAAAGTAAATAATAAAGTATAAGTAACACATCATACATGTATTTTAATAACAATATTTTGTAAAAACAAATTTTCTATAGCAATGAATTTAGTAGAGCTGTAGCAGAAGAATATTTAAAGTATTTTGATTTCAAAGGACGCTCATTAGATTTGGCACTGCGACAATTTTTAAAACAATTTAGTTTGACGGGAGAAACTCAAGAACGAGAAAGGGTATTAGTTCACTTTTCTAAAAGATACTTGGACTGTAATCCTCAATGTTTTAATTCACAAGGTAAATACATTTTTTGCAGTTTTGAACAGGTCCTCTTCTATAAATGGGGTTTAAAACAAATTATCTAAAAAAAAATTGGATACATTGTGAATGTTATGTATGGATGATGTGTAATGGTTATTCATTTTTAGATGCTGTACATACATTAACCTGTGCTATAATGCTGTTGAATACAGATTTGCATGGTCAAATGATAGGGCGTAAAATGACTTGTAATGAATTCATCGAAAACCTGGCTGGACTCAATGACAATGAGCATTTCCCTAGAGATGTTCTTAAATCATTGTATATGGCAATAAAAACAAATCCCTTAGAATGGGCTAAGTAAGAGTCAATTAGTCGTTTAAATTACTATGTACAAAATATAATATGTGTTATAATATTTTCAGTGATGACGATTTAGATGAAAATCAGCTTAAATTATCCAATGCCAATCAACCAACAGATAATCTTGGAAATAAACTTCCTGGCCAGAAAGGTAATAATTATGATGATAACGTCATGACACAAGCCTTGGAACATAAAAAAGGCTATGTAATGAGAAAATGTTGTATGGAGGCTAATGGGAAAAAAAGTAAATAAATAATAAAAGTTACAAATGTTAAAATTTATTATTATTATTCATTGAACATGACATGTAAATAAATAAATTGCAGCCGCTAGAGGAAAACGTGGATGGAAAATGTATTTTTGTACATTACGTGATCTCATTCTTTACTTACATAAAGACGATTCTGGTTTTCGGAAAACTCAAATTAGCGATAGTATTCATAATGCCATACACATACATCATGCTTTGGCAACTAAAGCTACAGATTATACAAAAAAGCAACATGTTTTTAGGCTAGTAACTGCTGATCGAGCTGAATATTTATTTCAAACTAGGTAAACTTACAATAACTATATTTATAAATTTATATTTTTATTTATTGATATATGGCTGTTATTCTTATCAATATTTATATTTTATTAGCGATTCCAAAGAATTAGATTCATGGATAAACACTATTAACTTTGTATGTGCAAGCTTTTCTGCCCCTAGATTACCAAGTGCTGTTGGTAATCAGAAAAAATTTCAGAGGCCATTATTACCTTCGGCACCAACAAAATTAAATTTGGTTTGCTATTAGTTTTATTCATATAACTAAATTATGTATGTATCTTTATATATATCAATGTTCCTACAGCGAGAGCAGCTTCGTGAACATGAAGACACATTGAGACAATTAGAAGTAGAAATTGATATACACAAGAAAAAACCACCAGAACGTGGTTCTAAGCACATCACTCTTCAGTTTTACAAAGAAAAAGAAGCCCACTTAAATGAAGAAGTAAAATTAAACAAACTAAATTTTATAACATTTTTAAAAACCAATGTTTTGTAATTTTATAGCTGAAACGGTATAAGACTTATGTCTGTTTGTTGAGATCAAAAATGATCCAGCATCCAGAGTACGATTCTAGTGCTGCACTTTTGGAGACTGATGACGAAGCAGAAATTATTACTGCTAATAACCAAAATTGCTCGTTACCCATTTCAAACAGGTACAGTTATAATGCAGCTATTTATTCTTCTATGGCCACACATAATATTTAATTTAATATTGGATGTATTATATTATGTGCTCATTTACTTGTAGTCATTAACAATAATGCAAATATTGGTTTAAAATTTGAGGTGCCAGGTGCAGGGAAATATTACATATTAAAAAGCCATTGTGGGAATCGGTTTTCTATAGGCTTTAAACTTTGGAAACTTGGTACATATACAAAACATTACTACCTATATTAACAATTTGTGTTTTAGTTATGACTTAATTGCGTGAAAGCTAATTGTCTTGTGCTTAAGTTTTCATTATTATTTAGCTTTACACTTATATTCAATATACTAGTATGGTAATATTGATTAAACATTTTAAAGAACTATTCAAGTAAAAAGTAAACAATTTTAAACAATAGTACAGAATAATGAATATAATTCAAAAGTCACTTATATAATGGAGTTTTTCTAAATTTTGACCGATGGAACTTGTGACTTTATGTATCATTTTCAACTAGCTCTAACAACCCAACAGTCATTAATCAATAGTAAAAAAGTTCATTTTTACTTGAATTGTATTCGCACCATCCGCCCGCATCCCACCCAGATGATCTGTCTATTAGTATAACATCTATAATACATACACAAATGTGTTTTATTTATAAAAAAAATATCTCCGTTTGCTTATTTGACTCAAAACCATTCAATATTATTCTAGATAATATATTATTAATATTTATTTGATCTATAAACAGTGGTTCCCAAACTGGGCACTGCTAATCCATTCCAGGGGTACTTACACAATTAATACAATTTATTTGTTATTTTTTGTTAATTCCAATTTAGTATGGCAAATTTTTGCAAAATCTTAATTAAAAGGTTAAACTGTGATGTGTAATTTCTAGCTCAGTAATTAGGACTCTTTTTGTTTTTTGGTACTGTAATTTTTTTTTTTAACTATCAGAGCATCCTTGATAGCAATTTAAAAAAAAAATGTCATCAAACATAGCATGCAGAATGCTTTTTATTCGGTCCATAGTGGTTTTAGAGCAAAAACACTTCTTATAAATTCGAAAGATACAACATTTCGGAAAAAATTTCATATCCGGTTTAAAAATAATAATGTGAAAAAAAATTAGTTATTTTAAAACAGTAAAAAATGATTTCAAAAGTTAAACATTACAAGTATCTAAGCTAGTTCTGCTAAAAAATTGGGTGATAATGTCCTCTTAAATCTAACATTACAGCCTACAGATATATTTTTTTTTTTTAATAATTGATAGAAATGTGTAAAATATATTTCAGTAAACTTATTTGTTGTTGCACACTGCTAAAGTGATTACTTCTTGCACAAATTTAGTTGAATAAGGTAGAAAAGCCAAAGAGAGACAATTTTGACTTGTGAGATGGGAGACAAGGAGGATTTTCAGTATAGAAAATTAATTGTATTTATTGAGTTCTATTCATTATCTATCTTTGACATACCTTATAATTAAGGTCAAAATACAAAAGTTAAACTAAAAAAATACTGACAAATTTGTTTATCATTCAGTCATATGTTGCCATAGATGTCTAGTGAAATATAGATGCTGCCATAGACTAAAATTAGTGGAGATAGACTTAGACGTCGTTGCTTAACGCTAGACGCGTCTGGAGTCAAATAAATATTTTAATTAAAAAATGTCAAGATAGCTATTTAAAATTTAACAAGCAATTCTCGAATCGAGATATATAATATTATTAATAAATAGAAATAGTTTTTAGAAAAGATTTGAATATTAATTAAATGAGTTTTGCTCATTTATGCCTTTTAAGACTTAAAAAGTTTAATCTTTGCATTGTGCTCACTGCCTAACCATACTATGATCATTATGTCAAAAGATTTAGTAGATGATTGTCATATAATTAATATAAAATAAGTTGCGATAAATAATAAAATTGTGATAGCAATAAACCAACTTAATTGGAAAATTGGACCTAGGCTTTAGCACACCAAGTTTGACAGCACTGTTTTGGACCTAAACACCTGTACTACTTTCTGGGTTCATTTGTTATTAAAACTAGGTGATATAACATTTTTAACTATTTCATAAATAATTAGGCTATACATTATTTTGTATTAAACTTGTACAATTTCTATTACTTAAATAATTTAAAAAAGTTTTTCTAATTTTTATTAATCAGAATTTTGTATGTTACCATATTATAATAAACATTTTTAAAATGTATTTGTTGTCAAGAAATAATATAAACTCATATTTTACATTGTTTGATTAAATTATGTTGGATTGCTAAAAAGTATATAAATGTTTAAGGAATCTCTAAATATAATATCTATTACCTTAAACCTTTAATAAACATTTATGCAACCTGACATTATTATTAAGTAATTTTTGTAACTAACAAGTTTTAATAAAAACTAATACAAAATTATACTAAAATAAAAAATATATTAAAGCTTTTTTGGTTGCTACTTCAATCATGACATTTCTGGCACCATTTGCTTTTAATCATAACACAGTTGCTAATATAATATGTTTTTTTACACTAACTAATTACCATAACACTGCAATTGCTGCTAACTTTTTATAATTATTGTTTGGATGATGAGAATGTTTTGTGTTTATGCATGATAAAGGAGTATCGATGCTTGAAGCTGAAAAATATGCCACTGGACTTTCAAGACATTGTCACTTGGCTGTGTAGTTAATATATTTGTATTTATTATTATATTTATCGTTTTAAATTTTACTTATTTTATTTGTGGCCACCATCAATTTTTCAAATATTGTTGATGATTCCTAATCAAAATTAGACATTAAGTCTAGGTATAAAGTTTTGTTTTTTATTGTGTGAAAAATTTAATTATATTCAAATCTGCTTAACAATTGTGCATATTATATTGTAAAAATATTTATAAAAATCGTTTTAGTACAAAATAAATATTTTTTAAGTAATAATTTAATTTTCCAGACAATTTTTTATAGCATACAACATAATTTATATAATATTTATGTACTCATATACATAAATATACAATAATCTAATATTTTATAACCACTAAATTTTTCATTCTTGCCATGGTTAATGATTTGTATTTCATTTTCACATACATTTTTTATTGGACCTTAAATCATTTTAATATTAATTTGTAATACAATAAACAATTTATTTGTTATATTTTTAAAAATTACTATAGTATACTATTATATATTAGTATAATATATAAATATTACTTACATATATTATATAAATTATTAATTAACAAAAATAAAATATATTTATCTTTATTGTACACACACATTGCTTTATGTCTATAGATTTACATTAAAATCAAGATAAATGTGCCAAATAGAATTAAAAACACTCAGTAAACTACTAATTAGTTTTTGTATAAATTAATGTACTCAATTGTTTTTAATGTTTTATTACTAACTATATAACTTTATAAACGTCTTAATAATATATACATAACTTTTGTTAATAAAATACTATTTAGAAAAAGTTTAAATAAAATAGTATAAAAGTTATTTGTTGACAAACAATCAACAAGTATGTGTTAATTTATATAATATTATTTAAATTAATTGTATACATAATGTTATAAAAACAAATTTAGGTAGTTGTATTTCAACTCTATTCATATTTCATACAAATATATTATAACTAAATAAAAAAAAGTACCTATTTCATTATTATAACAAGTTAACATGTTATTTGTTTTTAATTGTAAATGACTAATGTATATTATATTTCATATGATGTCATAATTGAATATAACTTGTTTAATTAATAACATTTTTCCCCTTTAGAGTTATTTTATTTCAAAATTAGTTTATATAATTTTAAGTTTAAAAATACATTAACTGTATATCCGTTTTCTTTGAGAGCAGTTACTAAGTTACAAATAGTAGCTTCTAAGTACATTTTTTTTATTTACCGATTTACTTCTTATGTTATGTTTTTAAATTAATTTACTGGTTTTAAGAATTTGGTCCATATTTTCTCATAGTTAATTGTATGTATATTTGAATTGTCCTCAGTATTAGTAGATTAGGTTTTTATTTTGGCCTTGATTATAAATATATATATTTCTATAATGTGCAATGTTAAAGAAACAAAGAAATTAATTTTACTTAATAGTTTTACTAAATTAAATATTAAAATATTAAACTTTAATTATATTTTGCTATTAAAATGTTTTCCACTGTTTGTGTTCATTTTAAGAAAATTTACTTAAATCTTAGCTTTCTGAGTCTATATTTAATATTCAAGTGTCTAGTCTATTGAATAAAAGTAAACTTATTTTATAAAATACCGTCAAGCTTAATTTAATATGTTTAAGAAAATAAACAAAATGTTGTTAAAAGAAACTCAACAACTTGTTATTATTAATTAGATCTAATTATTGTTTATAAGATGTATATTGTATATTATTTAATATGTATTATTAACTGCATATAAAATATGTTATTATGTTTCTCACACATGCATGCATACTGTAATCATTGATTTTTAAATATATTTTACACATATATAATATTAAAATCGATGGAAAAATAAATATTTTAAATAAAATAACATTTTTTTTTAATATTAATATTAATCAAATAAAAATTAGAAGTTCAAATAATATTTTTTGAGTTTTATAAATGTAACATGTTGGTTTATATAAATATATATATTTATATATTTATATAAAGGATGTAATGTAAAGTTCTACCGAGCTTCAAATAAGACATTTAGGATGCTCTAAGAGTTCAATGATTTTAATTTTTTTTAAATTTTTAAATTATTTCAAATAGAATTTGTATCTCATTAAATGGTCTTACGAAAAAAATTATTTCAGATTTGAAATTGGGAGAAAAAATCTTGTTGAATTGTTAGTAACGTGATTTTTTGGTATCTGGCCACACGTACGCCCACTGAGTGGCCGGCATAAGACTAAAACAACATATGGCATGCGACACATCATTTAATATAAAATAATTCTAAGGCACCACTGAATTGAGAATAAAATTCTAACCCAAAATGATGTGTCACATTTCATAAGTTGGTTTTGGTCATATGCTGGCCACTCGGTGGACACATAAGTGGCCAGATACCAAAAAATCTTGTTACATATCAATTCAACAAGATTTTTTCTCCTGATTTTAGATCTGAAATTATTTTTTTCGTTAGACCATTTAATGAGATACGAGTTCTAATTTAAATAATTTTAAAATTAAAAAAAAAGAATACTGATTTATTGTACCCTTAGAGCATCCTAAATGTCACATTTGAAGCTCGGTAGAACTTTACATTACACTCTGTATATATATATTAAAAAGATATAATTTAAATACTATGTTTGCCAAATGTCCTCCATTGAACATGTAAGTATTCTTAGAATCGGACATGAAAGTTTTGCATGACCTCTCGCAGCATATTGGCAGGTTCTGGGTGGATCTGCCTGAACACTTTTACTTTTAAATACCCACAAAAAAAAGTCACAAGCCGTTAAATGGGGAGAGCAAGGGGGCTAAGGAATATTCCCGTTTCGATAAATGACACCGCCCAAGAACAAAGCATTCATCAAAATTCTTGCAGTGTGGCTTGTGCCCCGTCTTGCTGAAAAAATGTGTATTTTATTTGATTCATTGTAAACTAAATGGTAAGCCGTGCTGATGGCGATGGGTCGATGAATATTGTCTCCACCACCACCTTATGAGCTTTCAACCCTACTTCAAATAATCCCGTTTCACTGTTGAACCCAGCTTAACGATCATATTTCATCTGACCGTTACTTTTGTATTTATCTATAAATATGATCGTATAATTCCCCATAAATAGTTTATTTACTCCATCGAACAGTGTTTAGTTATTACCTAAACAATAAATAAATAAAATTAGTCACATTGTCTAAATAATATAAAATTCACATTTTTATACTATTCCCTATTCTACATTTGTTTGATACATTTTCTAAAACGAAAAAATCTATTTTACTCTCAAGTAAGTCTATCAAGATGGGTACAAAGTATAATTCAAATCACCAAGAATGTATTGCATAAATCTTTCAAATGATAAACATATTTTATAACGAAAATAAGTATTTTTTGAGGTAAAATAATAATAAAAATATTAAATGTATACTTTATTCATTTGTTGTAGGCAAGAGCAATGAGCATTCGTGTGAGAGTAAGCTCGCGCCTCGCACCGTGTGGTGCAATGAGAATCACAGCGTGTAATTAACTTTTACTTTACACACACGTTGCGCCTACGTTTGACTAGAATATTGCATAAGTAAAACTTCTTATAGAAGTGTAACGTTTAAAATTATTTAAGTAAAATAACAAATAGTGAAGAATGAAAATATTATGTTCTACTTTCTTTGTGAAACATTACTATACTTAATGTAGGCTAATCCTCATTAGTATCTAATTCATTTTCATAAATGTTTCCTTGCCACATAGAAATAAAAAAGATAGGATCAAGCAATGCTTGGTAGTAGTATAAGCAAATGGCAAAACCAATAATTTAGATTTTGTTTTTAATTATTATTATTATTATTATAAAGCCTCGACTATAGGGTCATTGGGGTACAGTATATTGTATATAATATAATAGGAAAATATAACAGGGAAGTGCTGCCTGGAGTTGATCTGGGATGTTGAATTCTGTTCGGAGGTCTTTATATTTTAGATTGGTTTTATATGGGTGAACTGTGATTTTTTGAACTACATTAGTCCCGTATTTTCAACTTTTTTTTTAAAGGGGGATCCAAAAATGTTAGGTAAGTGTAAATCGTAATTACTGTTATTTTTTGCATGAGTGGGAGGAGGTTCTATAGTACCCCTGGACTCTCCAACCCACTTTGTAAATACGTCACATTATATTATAGCCGCATCATTTTTTTTTTAAAGTTGACCTGACCGCGACTAGTTTATGTGACATTATTTTTTTTTTATGTTATAAATTATAATTATACATTGACTTATTGTTAAGGAATGATAGGGATATCGGACACATCGTGCCGCCTATATAGCAGTAATTCGGTCGGAGGAAATCGAACCGGATCGTGTGCGACCTCGTCTCCATTTCCGTTGACCTACATACAATTATCATTAACTTTTCTGTAGGTATTGGTTACCTACCCGTATGGGGATTAATATTTAAACAGACAAACAGGAGCTGCTTTACGGGTGGCACGCGTAGCGAGTCAATATCAACTTTTATAGTGCCGGCAACACTGTAAAGAGCAAGCACGCGCTTGCACTAATACACATGTAAACCACAAAAAGTAGATAGGCCCACGTTCACACACACATACACATATCTTCACCACCACCACTGAGCCAATTTTGAGCACAGGCCACAACAGTAATCATTAAGCATGAGGTGATCGGACATTTCGAGTCGACCGTGGTTTGTTTGGCGCATCATGGAAGAAACGGGTACAACCGGGACGTACAACGCTGCCGCCAAATTTTGAACGTATTTCCAATAATATCTGTAGCATTTAATATTGTGCAAATCGACTAGACAAAACGTAAAATTATTTAAACGAATATAGAGGAAGTGATGGTGGTACTAAATACTAGCCATCATAATATAGTTTATTAGTGTCTAATATGCTCGTAGTGTAAAATTGCCGTTCAGGGCTTTGCACATGTTATTTTATTTTCGTATAAATATTAACGTTTAATGGTTTACGCAGAACTCTTTATTCCAGATGTTGTTACGAGTTAGTAATCAATGATCAATGGTTACTGACAAGAGTTAACTCTGTTTTAATATTGTACACGGGTCAATGTACATTTTATAATATAGCTTGTTGCAAAACGCTTTGGTTTTTAAAATAAAGTGTTATTATGTTGGCGATGTAACAAAATAATGGATAGACTATAGTAGTTTTTTTTATGGATAATGAATATGAAATATGTTGAGGTTGTGAGGGTTCACAACGTCATACAGCTTTGCCCCTTGCCTGAAAGAGACATAAATATTTCTATGGAAAAAGAACTGTCTGTTCTCTGTTCCCCATTCCGGACCGCAGCCTCGTGTTTTATTAGTATAAGAGTAGCCTATCCTTTATTTTAATATTTATGGATGTAAGTGGCGAACACCACGGGAGAACAAATTGCAGTGTCGAGTGAGTTAAATTACAAAATGAAGTATTGAAAAGCTTGATGCACTCTCTTTGCGGTGACTACTGGCTTTCAGTAGGTTTTTTAAGAGTAGAAAATTGTAATTGGTGAGTTAGTTTCTGTCCGCGTAGTGTAATTTTTTATGTGCCGGCAGGTAGTGCAATTTATTGGAGTTTCAGAAGGATCGATGGTTGAGGTTTTTATTCCGGAGAACTTTATTTACTTATGTGACGTCATTCGCTGGAATCGCACACACCTATTGGTTCGCAACCGCGATGCCTACTCAAGCACACACGCACGCGCGTTGCACTACCACCATACCGCCTCCTCTCATTCCGTAGTATACACACACACACACTCACGCATAATCACAAATATCCCCGAACATTCGTATTATTGTTATACATATATCCATACTTAGATACGTGCGACGTGCCTACTCGGAATTTTATTTTGCTTTTTGTATCACACACACACATACACATATTATATGAAAGTCTACACTATTTCACTCAGAGTTTGTGTTGGTCAATATTTTATTATTAAAAACAAACGGATTTACGGTGTCCCCCTCCCCTGTGGTTGACGTCGACGACCGTATAGAATATTATTACAATATATACATAACGTTGTAAATGTAACGTACACAATCTATCAGCTATCTATTATTTTTAAGTAACACACACACACACATACATATTATAATATTAAATATAATATATGCACATTTATACTTATATCTATTATATAATGTCATATTATTATAATAGATATATACACAAACACACATATAGTATATTACGTTAATCGTTTTGTTTTCCGGAGCGAGTCGAACGAAAATTAATAATATTATTATTGTTATTATCATCACGGTCACCTATATTCGAAGAGTGCGCGCTTTTACCGTTCCATCGGATCTCTGTGCAAAATTCAAGTCCAAGTGTGTGACATAAATTAATCGATCTGTGATAATCTTTTCTCGTTAATAATATTGTTAATTTTTAAATTTGTTTTCGGAACGCGCAGTGAACTGATAGCGACGTTTCGCGGTCCTATCGACTGTGGTGTGTTGGTCGTTGCGTCGCGATTCGCGTTGATAATGTGGTCGTCGCGGTCGTTGTCATCGTCGTTGGTGCGGTCCACGTCGTCGTTGGTTTTTACGTTGGATTCTCTGCAGGGCGGCCCAACTGAGTCGACCATAATAATATAGCCCTCACCCCTACGATTCGTTGGCCGCCGTTGCTGCTACTGCTCCTGTTCCGATGTCGCTGGCATAGTGTCCTGTATCACGACATAAAGGTAAGCTACTGCCTACTGTGCTAGTTTCTACAAATGTGACCAGTCATAATATTAGTAGGTAGTAGCCTCGTATATAATCTGAACAATTTTACACAAAAATCTCAACCTAGAAATATGTTGGTTCAGTGGACTGTCATATGTTTTAAAGCTATAGCGTTTTGCGCGCAAAATTAAATTCCTATTCCATCAAAACTTTACTTCCTCATTATTTATTTAAAATTATTTTCAAAACTTGAATTACAACTTGTTTTCGATTGACACGATGGGATTTCATATTTACATAAAATGTTTAATGGGAAAAAGTCTGTATCGTCAGCAATAGTGATACGAGTAGACATACGGTATTTGGATGACTTCCCTGTACGTTAAGCTGGGTTCTATGTCAATGTTATTGGGCGTGTTAATTAATTTATTAATTGTTCATGATCTGCTGCAAGGTTATAATTTACCATCCTAGTTCATGATAATAATTGTTAATTAATGATAATTTACATTTGTGTGCTATTTGTGAGTTTACGATAGAATAAGGATGTAACGTAATATTCTATGATTTTAATAATAATAGTTAACTTAACTGGCTATCAATAGTGCTCATTAGGGAAAGTGTTTGCATTTCTCAAGTTTATATCCATATCAGATACCTTATACCAAGTCTTTGGTTATTTAAGTGGTTTGTGTTGATAGGTATAGGCTTGATTAGTATTAGTATTAACTATTGTAATTTATATTGTTTTAGCAAGCAAAATAATTGTAATGTGTAAAACAATTTTGAGTATCTATTAAATAGGTAACTTGAAGTCGGTGTTAATTATTTTTAATTTGTTTTAAGTTTAGAAGTTATTAACAGTTGAAAATTTGTTTTGCTTTGATATATTATTTGTTACGATTACAACAATCTATTTTGCAGTATTACAATTATTGTAGGTAGTAGTTATTGATAGGTGTAAGAATACTATTCGGTTTAAGATAATATACAATTAATTAATTATTTAATATTGCATTTTTGTGTGACCTTATAGGCTAAGCACCTTATCATTATGACTATTATTATTATTATTATTATATTATTATTATATTTATTCATTTTGACATAGGTACTTCTATTTTAATTATTTATGCTCGTGTAACTTAAAATGTTTAGATGGGAAATCCTACACGTTTTATGGTTTCATGGGACGATCACTCTACACATTTAGTGGCACGTCTTGGATATCTTTTGGAACGCCAACAGTTGGTCGATGTCACTTTGATGTGTAATACACACAGCCTCAAAGTTCATAGATCGGTTCTTGCAGCTTGCAGTCCATATTTTGAGGTAAATTAGTGAACATATTATTATTATTATTTTATTAAGTATACGTTTAACTATGAATAAAAAACACGTTTATATAAATATTGATAAGAATTTGTTTTAAATATAACAGTTTTTATGCCACTTCTCTATTAGTATATTAATTTTATACTTAACTAGATTATTTTTATATTTTTTAAACTTAATTATATTAGGTTAGAATTTAAATAAAACAATTTAAAGGACTGTAGTTAAGTAATGATAACAATTTGTAGTGTGTTCTATTGCAAAAATATTTGATTAATTCAATATATCAAATAAGTTGTTTAATAAGACATTTAATTCATACAATTTCTTTACAAGTAATTATTGCTAAATAAAAAATGATATTTTTTCAGCGTGAACTGGGCAACCATCCAATGATTGTATTAAAAGATATGAAATTTAGTGTGCTCAAGTCTTTGATAGAGTTTATGTATTGTGGCGAAACAAATGTTACTGAAGACAATTTACAAGCTCTTGTAGAAGCAGCTAAATTTTTCGAGGTATTTATCATATTTTTATTTATTTAGTATAGTTATAGGTATTTAAAAAAATTATTGGATAAGGTGGCAATGTGTAGTGCTTTCTGTCTTTGATACTCGATAACAGACTGCTCCATTACTAGGCAAGAAGTCGTCTTGTAAAATTAATATTAATTGACGTTAAAATTTAAACTTCATAATATAAACAAAAATTGCTCAGTAATGACCAAAATTCACATTTTTTTTTAGCATTTGTCTTATTGATTATTCTAAAAGTTATTTGTATAGGTATTACACATTTTGTTGAAAGAGAACAACTTGTATTAAAAAGAACAAAAGCAGACTGCCCGTCGTAGAGGTTGCCTAATGACACAGCAATTAAATCAGACATTATAGCTACAGAGATTTAAAATAATAGTATGATAATATGATTTTAAATAGCACATTAAACTTGTAGAACAGTTAAAAAAAATATTTTGATCTAGAAAAAACTTGTGGTTATATATTATAAAAATAATTAAATATTGGAGAAACAATATTCCCCAATGGGACATAAATTATATAATAAACAATATACAATTTTCAATTTCTCATATTATAAAGGAGCACAATTAGATCAACTTAAATTTGAGTGAACACTTAATCCACCTTGTCCCCTAGCCTTTGATTTTTAAAAGTACCAGTAAAGGATATATGAGCTTTAACAATTTTTCAAAACGCTAGTTTTTATGTAAATATTCAGGGGAATAAGTTGTGAGTACCAACACTCACAAAAATGATGCCTAAATGTATCTTAAGAATCTAAATACTAAATAGTTTTCATTTTAGTATAAATAATTGTTGTGCTGCGTTGCACAATACTTTATTGGTTCTATAAACCTGGTTTAAACCAATCACAATGATTTATTGGTCCAACGGTTTGTGAAATCAATAAAGTTTTGTGCAGCCCAGCATTAGTCTTATATAATTTCATAGATAACATGTTATATACAATCATTTTAAATGATATTTTTTTTTTATAGAAATGTATTTCTTCTTTTAGTTTATAAACATCTTTTGATAATATAAATTATTAATTTTGATGCGGAGTTGAGACAGTATTGTTTTTACTGTTAGTGTTTTATATTTATATTTTTGTGTATAGAAACACAATATATCCAAAACTGCTAAAGCAATTTCTTCACGTACTGAGTCATTTAATCATTTATTGGGCAAACATTTTAATAACTTTAATAACCCATTACAAATTATTTACAATTTACTGAATACTTTTACCACAATCAATATTGACAGTTTTAATTTTAAAGTATACACCATTGGTTATTGACAATACATATTTAAAATTTAATAAAGCTAAATCTAAATTTGCTAAATTGAACCTTGTTTAAGAGACAAATAGAGATTTTAATTTAAAAATATGAAGTTTGTGGTTTACTGAATTAATACATTTCGAAATTTGGTACAATAAATGGCATCGACTAGAATTGGTTAATAGTTTGATAGAAACAATGGAGGATTATTTTAGTAGAACAACTAGATCTGAATCAGTATTGTTTAGATGATAGTATATTAAAATTATTCAGATATATAAGTTAATACTAAACTTTTTTTGTGTATTATAGTGTTAATATTATATTATAAACTTAAAGAGTTAAAATTTTTGATCATGTCCTAAATTATAACGCTAAGTTGTTTTATTGAAATTTATGGTAATAACATTCATCAGTCTGTTGTTAGCGCTGAAGATGACAACATCGTTGTCGTAACATGTGTACGCAAGAAGTGTATAACTTTTATGGTTTAGGGTTCAAGTAGATTTTATATCTTTACTAGTATATTGTTGTTTGTAAAGTTTGTCAAATATAAAATAATTATTATTTATTCTTAATGAAGTTTCTTTACTAATTTTATAAAATAAATAAAGGTACTTTATACTAACAACACTAGTCACTCATGCATCAATTACTATAATTGATTAAGATAATGTTATTTTATCAGTAGACCTGTCCTTGATCAGGGTTTTGTAGCAGTAAATCTAAAAATAATAAATTTAACCAATGCTTATGTTAAAAGAAATTAAAATGCCATTAGGTACCTACGTATTTATATTAAATTCTGTTAACTATATTTTCTTTGTACACCTAAACATTTTTTTAAATAAATAAAAGATTTTAAATGCAATATTAAAGAATACAGAATGACAAATTGTTCATTGATGAATAGTTAAACAAATTATTAGTTCTCAAAGTAATGCAAACATCTAATGACATCCCTAAAACAAATACATACCATATGCTAGTGACATCTAACAACCTGTTCAATAGAAATTAAACTGCAATGCAGTTAATATGTACTCAATAGAAACATAATGGTTAACAAAATGCGAATATAAAATTATTTTATTGTAATTTTGAACATAAATTCTTTTTTATATGTTGTAGACAATTAAAATCATTTTTCTAACAAATTTATATTTGTTGAAGATCTAAAAGACATCACATTTTATTAAAAATAGGCATAATAATGTACAGCACAAGTTTTCTGTTAACACGTTGACTGCCACGGTACTTTTCAGTACTGTTTAAACTAAGAGTTGCACGTAGGTTGGCAGTCAACGTATTAATTGTTTTTGATTTGTTCTTTATTTCTTTTATATAAAAATATTAATAACCAAATTTTAGGCATGGTATCTGCTTGCACCGGTTGCCGACTGACATAAAATACTTCATCAGTAAATAAATATATTGTACAAGCAAAATGGTCTTAATTTTTGATTTGAAATAAAGCTAGCGTAGTTAGTGGAGTTAGGGTGGTAACTTGTTCAGGAATTATTATAACTGAAAGTGATGTAAACATTGTCAAATTAAAGCTTCAAAAATGTTGTTGTGTGGACATATATTTATATGGTTAATAAATGTATTTGTAGTTATGTTATTTGGTTTTTTCTCTTTAAGAAAAGTTTTACTACATAGAAATTTGTTTTATATTTCACATAAATATATTATAAAATAATACTAAAGAAAATTGGTACGATAAAGTAGAAAAAATCAAAAAAATTGTTAGGGATCACTAATTTATGTATATTGAATTACTACTTTATTCAATAGTGCATACTACATAATATATACTCCCTTCAAGTCAAACGCATATTAAGTCCAAAACTTGAGTTTTAGACGATTTTTGACTACTTAAATTTCTACCAATGAAAAACGTTAACATGTTTTGTCAATGTCTACTGAAACATGAAATGTAAATTAACATACTTATCAACAGATTAACTAGGTATCTGTTATTAAGAGGATGCTACCCAGGTCATTTCTAAGGAGTAAATAATAGGCAATTTTTCGAAAAATCTTAATTTAGAGAGTTTAAACTATAATGTATACATATTAATACAGTAATGAAGATACTTTGTTCATTGTCATTTTTTTTTGTCAGACTATCACAGTCATTTTTTAGGATAAATTAAAATTGTTTTCTCATCACAACAGTTTTCCGCGGATTAATTTTTCTCAGGCTTCATATGTTGTTAAGGAAAGAAATTTGATACATATTATATATGACAAAATTATCTGTGCTCCAGCATCCTCTTAAGCATAATTAGCATTTACAACGCATTAACATTGCTTGCTAAATATATACAATTTTTGACGCAGTTAGTTTTATTAACGATACTTACGCATTTATTTAATCTGTTTAACACGTGATCACGATATTATAAAAATTGATAGTGATATCTCTTATATTATATTACCTAATCAATTTTGGTTTTATCTATCAGCTGCTGCCGCCTGCGCATCTATTATTCTAATAAAAGGACTTAGAAATAAACACGTACACACAGGTTAAAATGTATTCGTTATTCTTCTTAATAATGCTTTTGTAATGTATTGAAGCTTTATTTATAAAAAGCTTATATTATATTATAAAGCCCATTTTCCCATTTTCAACGTGTTTTTCTATACCTTAAGAATATTTTATTCATCTATCCTTAAAAAAAAACTATTAAGGCTCCAAACAGATATAAATTATTTGTTTTTAAAAATACTTCTTTAATTACATATTTCTTTAATATTTAATACGTTTCAACGAATTATATTGTAATATAAAAAAAATCGAAATGTCGATCAAAACGTGCAATGCAAACACACCACTCGAGTTGCTACTAGCTGTGTTGTTACAATTAAATAAGGACAACCTTTTTCATGAATTATTTTTTTATCGTGTCAAGTTTATTCGACTGATATTACCGAAAATCCTTTACTAACAATGTCACACTTGCACGAGTGTTTTGATTGTTTACTTGTAGAATTGTATTACAAACATTACAGAAAGCATATACAATTGTTTACACCTGATTCTGTTCACTATTGACGTTTATGCATGTTATTTGTCTATCCTTAGCAAGTGTTCTATTGTTTTTAAACTCGTGTATGGTTTATGTTTATTTCATAAAATCTAAATTAATGAGGTCATAACCATTGTCCATTACACTTTGTTTATAATATGAGGTATTTCTCAATTTGTTATGGCGTAAAATATAATATAACATAAATATTAATATAAAATTAAATTGTAAAAAGTGCGAGGAACTATACTATAGATTTGTTAAAAGTTTGGTGGACCTTTTTTAAGTTAAGTTTCCTCTTTCTCTTTTTAATTTTCTTAGCTATTAGTTTGATTAAACATCTTAGTCTGCTGTTGTGAGTTAAAAAGCGTTAATTGACTTGTCTAAAATAATGTCATATTCTAGCTTTATAAAAAGATAGTTACTTATTTTAAACACGATTTGTTGATATGTATCTAAATTTAAAATAGTTTCTGTAAAAGTCAAAAATGAATGAGAAAATCAATGAAAATCAAAAAATGTTTTTAAATATTCCAATTTTTCAAGATAATAATAGTACTGTTTATCCTTTTTTTATACACGTATTGTTCCACCACTCCTTATCTTTGGTCTAGTTGCCTTTATACCAAAATCATTACTAATAACCTCGTTTAAATTATTTATACTTAAAAAAAAACCATTTTAATTATTTTATAGTTATAAAATTTACGTTCTAATACGTTCAATACATGGCGTAAATTATGAATTATAGTTTTTACTGTTGTCTGTTTATTTAAACATCAATAATAGACTATCATAGAATTGATAGTTAAGCTATGAAATCACTAATAAAGAAATATGTTTTACTGGTTTTTTTTTATATTTGCTTAAGAAAACCCATACGTAATCACTTAGTCATGTTTTAAGTGTAAAATTGTTAGTGATTTCCAAATTTTAGGGTCTCAAATAGTAGATAAATGGCATAAACGTCTAAAAAAGTGTAAAAAAAATTGTTTATATTAGCGCTGATAATCGACGAGTTTTAAACCACGGTTGTTGTCATAATATGTATATTGAGGATTTCGTGAGAAAACCTGTATATCTAACAATTTTTCCAAATTTTTACCTATGTATTTAAAAATACAATTAGGTTTTTAAGTTAATATAAGACATTTTAAACGAATGGAATTATGTTTAGGAGTTACGCACGTTTTAGCTACATCTAGTAGATGAAATCAGTAGATGAAACTGTACAAATTAACAATAAATCAAAGTGTCACTAGATAAATGCATTAGAAAAAATTGCTTTGTTTGATTTTTGTCTAATCTCAATTTATTTTTACGGTTTGTTGAAACGTTCTTATTTGCATTCTTATCTTGATTACTTTCAGGTGTTATTGATCCTATTTCATTAGAGATTAACGAGGTGGTACGCTTTTCGTATCGGTTTGTGAGGCTTACCCCGTTGAAAGCATAATTGTCCATGTTTAACTGTAGAAAATAACTTACTGTAGTATGTTTGTCATTACTGATTTAACAAATTTCATTTTATCGTAGTAGGTACGATGGTATTAATTATCTTTCTAAAATAAATTGTTAAGCCATTTCCGTCGCCAAATAATGACGAAGTCTCAATTAGTGCGTTCGCATTCAGCTACATAAAGAATTTGCTTGTCATTTAATGACAGAAAAGTGTATTTTTTGTTAAATTTATGTTAGAACTACCAAACAGCTATTTAATGTATTGTTTTTAATAGTTAAATTCGGTAATGCCCTGGTAAATAAACCTATTAATATAACTTAATAGAATATTAGTATAGCTACAGTGCGTTTCACAAAATATGCGACTCGATACTCAAGCGCCTAGTGGCGGTTTTTCACAGATCAGTGGTCCTCATTTAAGCGAAAATATAAAAAGCGCGAGGTTTTCAAATCAGGAGTACGATAAGCTGTTGGGGTTGTACATTTTACGTACCATTCTAAGGGCGCGTAGCTATTGTTTATGTTTGAAACTTTATTATTTTTTTGCGAGGTATCTTAGATAATTTTGTAGAAACAGTTTTTTATTTGTAAATGTGTTCATCGCAGACGCTGTTTACTTCCATCGTGTTTCGCCGACTATGTGTTAGTTGTTACTGTACTGACCGTTTTTTAAATCTCGCGATTTTGGTAATTTTTTTTAAGTATGTTCCCTTTCAGGAGACATTCACTCTCAACGCAAAAATCGTATTTTTAGTGTTTATTCGAATTAAGAAAATTGGATAATGATTTGTCGCATCCCGAAATGGCTAATTTTTTTCTTTAAGCACAAAAAAAAACGTTTGATGTGTGTTTTATCAGCATAGTAACCATAAAGCAAAAACTTAGATATAGGTGGTGTGGGAGTTTTAGATAGCATACCATAGAAATCTATGGATTTATTTAGAACTTTCTCCCAGCCAGCCATAGGTATAAAAGCAGCTTCTGAACCCGAAAAATAAATCTGTGACTTAGTGAATATAATATATGACTTTTAAAAGGACAAGTGGCCAAGTATATAAGGTTGCAGTTTGCTTGGCTAGGCGGCTCTGTTTGCTGGTCGAGAGTAGGATTCGGGGTATTTTAGGTATGCCGATATTAAGAAAAAAAATGTCTTGGATGGTTTATTGTGAAAAACCGCCTAGATGGTGTATAGTTTATCGGTATATAATTCGTAATTTGAAATTATCTCGGTATACCTGCGTTGAATTCAATAACAAAACTAACATTCATTGAATTAACTATCATAACTATGCTTATTTCACACTGGTTTGCAAATGTGATGTATATAATGTTTAATATTGCAAAAATTCTGTGTTTTAAAATCTTACTTAACACTTGTTCGTTTTTTAATTTTTAGGTGAAAGGATTGTCCTCATTAGCTCACGAAAGCTTACAGGATTCCAAATCTATAAAACCTCCATCTCTTTTAGGCAGCACGACAACACAAACAAGGATTTGTCAAGTTTCGACAACACCACCTACGCCAAAGGTCACAGAAAATGGAAACTTTTCTTCACCAGTCTGTATGTAAAAGCCATTGTAATACATAGTCTTTGTAACATTAAGTTTTAATTAATTTTTTTTTTTTATGTGTTGAATATTAAGCTGTAATAGCTCGCCTTGGACAAAACAATACTACTAATGAAAGACGACCATGTGCTGGAAGAGGTCGACCTAAAGCGCACCTCCAAAGTCCATGTTGTGAACCATTGGTAAACAAGCCGGCTCCGATCACTCCACCACAGACCGAATCTGCCCAAATTCTATTGTCTTTAGCTGGCTCTAATCAAACATACATATCACCTACAAAACACAAAACCAGTGATAACAATATTATAGCCGCTGTTAATAATCCAGAATTCCCTATTACCAATGGCTTGGATAATGGAAACCAAAAAATAAATGAGGAATTAGAACAGCGATATAAACGCAGTAGAAAAAGACCTGCAGATTCACTGGATGATAATCGCTATGATGTAAAAAAGCCTATGATTGTAAACGACATTAAAACAGATGAAGATGTCAACCGTTCACCATTACTAGCCAGTTTGCTTACAAAAAATGATAAGCCTATTGATAATAAACCTAAAGTACAAAAACCTCAAGAATCCCAAACTCAAAATTCCGAAAGGTATATAAATGCGTTAAAAGGAGCAGGTCTTCCTACAGATATTCCAATACTGATAGAGAATGGTGATGGCAACTATATCACATTGACAGAGAATGTGTATGACATATTAGCTAAAGAAGATGCATTACATTTTCAACTTACAGACAGTATGAATCTTGTAAACCTTAAACCACCCGATGAAGTGAGTAATGTGCAAGAACAGCAGTGCAATACTTTACCAGAAACAAGCTTAGAAGACCCAATATTAAAAAATATTAAAAGTCATTCTCCACCAGATAACCCAGATGACGTTATTTTGTATAAAGTAGCTGATGATGGAAACATTGAGAAATATGTTTTGACTACAGAAGATATAAAAGCATTTAAAGATTCAATGATTACCACTCCTGACAAGAAAAAAGATTCGCCCAGATTGAGTGTGTCTGAAATCAATGTACCACTTGAAAATAATAAGTCTTCTCCTTTAATAACAAAAATTTTAGATTGTGGAAATGAAAAGTTATCAGAAGCTTTATTAGAACGATTACCACTTAGAAAAAGAGGCACATTTAAATTAAATAATTCTGGTTCTGATACAGAAATATTAACACCTGTAAATACTGTTAGTAATCAATCAAGTAGTAATGCAGATACCGATGTTGAGTATGTAGTAGTCGGCGAAGAAAGCGTACAAATGGATTTGATGAGTAGTAGTAGTAGTAAAAACGTCAATATGAAAAATGAAGACCTTAAGATGGAAAATGTTGCTGAAGAAGAAATGAGTGTATTAGAAGCAATGATGAATAACACTATAGAATTTTCATCTGCGGATGGGGATTATCAAATGCATGCTAGTGAAGAAGTTTTCTCAAATGATCAAAATGATAATGAGAAAATGATTCTATCAAATGTGCTTATGTGTACAGGTGCAGAAAATTCCAATTCCCATGCTAGCCTAGATCACTTTGGGTTTAAGTCTGACGAAGCAGAACACCGCCAGAATGATAGTAATCGACAAAAAAAAACCAAAATGTATGTAGACCTGGATCTGACGGGGAGCGATTTCATTTCGGAACCAGTCACAGAAGAAGTAGTGCTTGCTAGTGAACTGCATCCAGGCTCCTGAATTTATTTATTTAAGGCTGTCTCCTTGTTATACTCTGAACATAAAATCCGTGTAAATTCTGTAAAAATTGGGCTGTGCAATGAGACATTTTAAAGGTTGCATTTTGTCATGGAACTTGTTAGTAAACTACAAATTTGTTGCACGCCTCTGTAAATATTTTACATATTATATATATTTTAAATATATATTGTATGTATAATTTTTTTCCTTTCTTGTAGTACTGACTTTTCTATACCTAGGACCTAGCGTATTGTTTTGTTTTAGTATAACAAAAAAAACACAAATTTATGCATTATAATTTTTTTCAATTTTGGTGATGTTTAAAATAAAAATGTGTGGACGAATAAAATCAAATTACTTGGATCGTTTAAACTAAAAATAGTGTATACACTATAATAATATTGTAATAGGAAATAAAAAATGAAAATCAGCCTTATTGTGTCAAATGTATAATAATATAATTGTTGTTTGCCGTAGTGCTCACCTGGTTTGACATTTTCTCTCTGTGCCATTTGTTAAACTGTCAGTTATGAAAGTTTACAGATTTCAGCTTTATAAAATGACAAACAAAATCAAAAACAAACTAAAGATCACATTTAGCTTTATTATGCATAATCATATTTAGAAAACCTTGTTTCAATTTTGAATGCATTTTAATTTTTGTTTCTAACCATGATTTTTTTTTGTAAATATAATACAATCAATAGTTAATATAATATTATTATTGACTTAATTTTTTTGACTATCCAAATAATTTATTTTAATTAAACTATGTTGAATTGTTAAACTAGTATTTTTCCATAATCTATTATTTCCGTTTTTTTTTTTTTTAAATATTTAATTTCTCAAGTACCTAACATCATACAGCATGCTGTAACAAATGGTCTAACGTTTAGGTCGATTTCAAATATAATGTTTGCTTAACGTAAAAATATGTAAAATCACTATTTGTATAGAGTGGTAAATCTCGATTGCATATATTTTTTTCTCTTTTTAATTATTTTAAATTATCTCTAAGTTGTATTGTTAACTTGTAATTGTATTATTTTAATAATGTGAAAATTTGAGAAAATTTACTAGCCTAAAATGGCATTTTACCGTGTGCACATAACCAAAGAATATTCGAAAACTATGACAATATTGTACGTAAAATATAGAGTGTGAGTAAAATACCATTTAAACAAGCTAGAAGTTAATTAAGGTCATTGTAAATTTTATTGTTGTTTATTGTTTTTTAAATTTGTTCGATAGTTTTTTAGTTCCCTTTTTTGTACATATTCGGAAATCAATAAATTAATTTGTTTATCGATTAATAAGATCTCAATAATTTTTCAATTGTTATTTCACGTGTACTGGTGTCTAATTCTAATACTTAATTCTCACCAAACATCCATCATAAAAAATTGAAAACAGAACTGGTTATGATCCCATTGGTTTGGTAGTCAAAATGATGGTATTGTTTGTTCATATGTAAAAATCTGTTGGTATAACTTAAAAGTATGCAAAATTGTATAAAAAAAATACCATTTAGGTAGGTACTAATGAAGCTCTAATTCTATATAGAGTTTTATCAATTGTAGTTATTCTGGCAATACATTTGGTAGATTTCTTAGCATTTTTCAATAGCTATACAAATAGTTTTACCTATAATTATTGTACTCGGCTGTGTCTATTATATTTACTCTCGAATCGACCAAACTTGAATTGGTATCTTTTTAATTTAAACAAGTCTTTGATATGGTATTATCTAATTATAAAATGAAATAAGTGATTTCAACACTAAACATACTATTTAATTAATCATTCTGCAGTTTCAATTATGAATATACAAATGAATACTAATGCTAAGGAAATAACACACAAAAGCTGTAAATGAAATTCATTTAATCTAATGTAAGTATGATAAAGCTGAATATTTTTGCATTATTTTGCAGAATATTAAAAATAAATATTACCTATAATTAAAATGCAAAATTGTATGCTTTAATAACTTTTAACCCGACAAAGTAACCACGTTTGACGGCTGTCTAGACAAAATGTACTTCATTTATTCCTTTTCTCCCTCCTTATCCATATTAATTGTTCTATACATAATAATTAATATTAACTCTATTACTCTCTTGTATAAACTCAAATTACAATTTCCGATACAGGAGTTTCACAGTTCACTCTTCATGTTTTTGTTATACGTTTGTCAAAACTCAAACTTGTATTGTGTTATTCATTTATTTTATACTGCTACAATTATTAGATTCTTGACTCTTGTACGTCTCCTTTATTATTTAAAACTGGAACTCTACAAATTACTTTTTAAAATAATTAACCTCTCCCACTCACTCGTTCATTTACATCGCTTTTGCTAACCATATAATTATATTCATCGGTTGTCTACTTGACGCAAATAGGTAATTAACATAATATCATTTTGCTGCAGTTAATACTAAAATATCAGAATGTTTCCCTTGAAGAAAATACAATGACATGACATGTCTTATGGCCTTACACAATCAGTTGATTCAGTTCCTCCACTCACAACACTTTCCTTCCCCATCCGCTCCCTTTATTCTTCTTTCTCTCTCTCTCTATATATATATATATACATTTTTTAGTCTGCGACTTTTTTAGGTCGGTTGGACGTGGACCTACAAGAGACAAGAGTTGCTATCCTGGGGAAGTGGGTATGGTGCGGTTATTTTCCGATGCCTTCTGTGTTCTATGTGCCTGTTTTATACTTATGAAAAACAATAATAAAGTCTTGCTAACTGTTTTCTAACTCTCCGAATTCCATAAGGGGCCTCTAGCATTTATTAAGATGCATTGTAGATATTGGCAATTCTTCATTAAACCTCAACGTTATGCACACATTTTTTAAAAATACGATTTAAGCATTGAATAAACATTTGGCTTCTTCATAACATTTACAAGTTATCGATCGAGGCACAATTAAAAAATGATTTTTAGTTAACTAATAAATTATATTTGACAAATTTTAATTTTTCAAGTTTTTAATGATTTTTACAATAATATTAAAAACGAAAATTAAATATATTCGACGGATATATCAAAGCAAGTAATGAAAAATGCGATCTGGTCCCTCTTTCCTTTCTTAAATATCGGCCTTATCTTGTCCTTGGCCTCGCTTTCGCTCATTCTCAGCTCAGGGTTTTGCCTAGCTATTATGGTCGAAATATCATTGGGCAGCACTCCCTTAAAATGACGGCGCGGCCACGGGCTTAAGCGGCCCTACTTCTGTTAAGATTGATTTGAATGCACCGGATCATTTTGATGTGGTCGATCCCTGTGCCTCTTGTCTCAGCACCTCTACTCATATTATATTGCACGACTAGAATGGGTGTAGTGGTCTCTATTACGTCTCTGATGCAGCGCTCATTTACACTGTGCAACATATAAGATGCCATCGAAATAATAACGAGTCGTCGTCGTCATGCAAACGTTTTGGCCAGAACATATAATTAAGACATTAAGACTATACTATCGTCATAAATCGTAAGGAGATTATAGATCAGAAATAATCACTATTAAGGAGCCAGTAGGCTAAAGCATGTTCCATGTTTTATCATTTTAGCCGTTAGGTTTTAACTTTTAAGTAGACTGTAACTTTTTAAATGACACTGGTACCCTTATATTTTGGCCCTAACTTCTCGTCGTAACATTGGTTATCGATTCTCAGATCACCTTATAATTATTACTATAACTCTAAAAATTAAATTACGTATAATATAACTTTTATATATCAACATAAAATATTTAAACAATATTAAAACATCATCAACAAAAATATAAAAACTAAAAAAATAGGTATTAAAAAATAAATATTGTTTTTATTTAGTTAATCATGTAATTATAATAGAAAAGCATATATCAAACAATTCTATTCTTGACAAGAATAGGGTTGGCCTTTTGATCTCACTAGTATAGCATAGTTTCTTTATTTCTAAATATTTAAATATTTTCTTAACGAGTGTTAGAGAAAGTAAAAAGTTCTTATTACAAACTCGTATAAGTCATTTAGGTATTAAAAATGTCAAAATTGCAATAACTACAATAATATCAAATCAAATGGTTCATAGTATCTATAATATAAATTATAATATTACAGCATAGATAAAATATACATAATTAATTACATCTTCATCTTCGTTTTACACTCCCGACTACATTGAGTCAGCCATAATGAATTACATAGTAATTATATATAATATTTAATTTAATTTATGATTATTTTAAAAGTATGGGAAGTAAAATTTAAAAAATACAATTTTAGTTACTTTTAAATGATTAAATAATTTAAACAAAATGATTTACTCAAATATAAAAATACATAAGAAATTAATTTGGCTATTCAATATTTTGATTACGGGTTTGGAATGTCTCACAGAGACATTATTTGATACAAATATAAAAGTCCAAGTAACATAATAGTATTAATTCAAGTAAGACATTTTTATTGCTATCGCATCATCAATATGCATTTATTGTCAAAATAAAATTGATTACGTCGAGAGAAATTTTGATTACATTTTACGTGTCATTATTATATTTTACGTTCCGACTAACATTAACTTTTTTGTCTCTCTCCTGGCCCGTCGGCCATCTCGCCATTAACGATAAATATTTTAAGGGGAAAATAATTGTTTTGAATTTTGCTTCAGCAGAATGTCTCGCACACAAAAAAAAAGAACAATTCGTCTCTAGACATATTTGTATAGTTTTTGACTTTCGGACACATTGCCCAATTGCACCCCCTCTCACTGACGGAGAAATTTATGGTTTTCTGGCGGCCGATAAATTAAAAGTGTCGGCCTACAGCGAAATTATGTGATGCTGACGTTTAATTTGCCGGTGGCGAGAAATCGGTTGTGAAAATAGTTAAACCTACCCACGACCCACGTCTCCAACAATTATTCGTGTTTTATAGTTTTTGTATTTCAGTGACATTAAAAAAAAGTATTACACCCAAATAATCTGGGGTTGTAAACAATGTTCTCTTGGTTTTACAAGCTTTTCTTTATTTTTCAGTAGTTAACTACTAATGTTTAGTAACTGTAATTGTAATGTTACTATAATATAGGTTGCATAAGTAATAATTGTTAATTATGTAATATTGTGAAGTCTATGTATAACTACAAGTATTATATTATCAATGTGTGGAAAAAATACAAGTGATAAGTATCTATGATATTTTAATAAAGATACTTAGGTAACTAAAATGTAGGTATACACTCTGCTTTACAAAAACCAAAGATTATCTAGGATTTAAAATATCTACTTATTGATGGTACAGTACAAAGATGTCATAGATGCACTATTTGGAGGAAATTAGCTAGGTAGGTACCTATGTATAGGAATAAACTAGACAATTCATAGTTTAACTTGAGATAATTTAGAAGTTTATATACATGTAATGTTAGTTAATACAGCATTATGAATTTTAAAACGTTGTGTTATCGATACTAATATTAACTTAATATGATACAGTGCACAGGTATCATAAGTATATTTTTTTTTACAAGTTGAGTTACATATTTTAATAGATCTAATAACCTAATATACAACGTGTCTTCAATATAGATTTTTATACCTATAATAAATAGGTAAAATGAAATACGAATTCAATTCAATAGTATGTTAATACCCAGTTTCTATTCGGGTTAGGGTTAATACGAGATTCTTGTATAACAAATAATTATAATGATTATTAATTAATGTTATTGAGGTTTGAAGATTTTTAAGGGGTTTTAAGCGTGTGGCGAACTTGATCAATTTATGTACAAAGCCCTTAACCCTTGCTATTATTATGTAATAATATAGTATTGCTAGGTACTTAAAATGTATGCCACAGGGTCAACAAGTAGTTAGAAGTTATAGTAATAAATATGAATTTTCGTGTATAGTGAATATATGTAAAGTTATTTTCATTGAAGGTACACATATTAATACACAACACTTCGCTAAAAATAGTTTGACCTCATTTAGTAAATTGTAAAGCATATTATACCTAACGGAGTTCATTCAGGTGCCATTTTTAATATTCTGTGAGAAAATGTATGCTATCAATATCTATATATCTATATGTAATTCATGAAATACAAGGCTGGGCCGTTGAAACCCTGGTAATACATGTTTGACATTTATAAATTGTCTTTAATAGCCTACAGTAGCGTAGGTTATATTTATAGGTTTAGCTACCTGAATCAGCTCGATCAATTAATACGATTTTGTGTGCAGTAATAGTTTTATATCATAAGGGTATATCTAATATAGCCTATACCTATTCATTTACAGCTAAAAATAT